CTGTGGTTTTGCTCTCCCGTTGCGCCGTCTATTGAGATTGTCCGCTCTGGAAGGTTGGTAGGTGAACAACTGCAGCTCTTGTCCTTGGGAATCGGAACTGGCTGCTGCTGCTTGCAGCAAACAGAGTAACGAATTCACTGAATAGGTAGTTTTGAGTGAATCTGATGTAACCTAGGATCTGTACAAATATTATCGTTAGGTGAAGATACTCGGGGGAAAAATAAAGTTCAAGCAAAAGGTATCCATTCCAGGAGATGATGGCTTTAACGTAGAAATAGTATCTGTGGCAATGATTTCTACAGAACTTGTGCTTTAACTGTCACATGTATTAAGATGCAGTTGTGCCAAAAGTTCAAAATCAACCTGACGGAGCAGGTTGGACAGACGGAGCTTCCTGCCCTCATTGATTTTTAGGTTTGCTCACTTTTGAGAGAGTTTATTAAACACAGGTTTGAACTGCTAGGCTGGAAATGCAGTTTAGGATATGTTGATGACGGTTAACTCTTTTCTGGTTTCTTGTGACTTACTCGAACCAGCCAACCAGAGCCTTCCCTCGAGACTGGGAAGGTGCTTTCTACATGGCAGTCAACTTGAGATGAGCTTATGTGTAATTGATGATAACTAATGTCTAATTACCATAATTAGACAAGTGACATAAAATTAAGCTGCAGCTGGGAGCTTGACTTCAACACGAGGTACTCTGATATGCATCATAATGTGCATAAAAAGACCTTTGGCAGAAGCACGTTCAAATAAGAAGGCGACACCAAAATATCTGTTCCTCTGGATTTACTCGTGCCAGTCCAAGTAGTTTAATATCAGTTTTATCAAAAAGTCTGAGGAGCAAACTGCCACTGGCAAACTCTTGCCTGGAAAAAAGGAGAACTGTGGATTTTCGAAAACAAAACAATAACAACAAATTACCGCCCCCCCCCTCCTTTTTTCTGTGCTTGTTTCATTTCTTGTAAAGATCACTCAGTAAAGGGTGTATGCAGTAGATAATCAGTTAGAAAAGCCGCTAACTTTTAAAATAGTAAACTCTTCCTCATTGTTGTCTTCGCTTGAGTTCGACAATTACCCGGGTACTACGTTATAGCTATTTTTTTTGGCCTTACCTTGTTCCGCTGGCAAAAAGACTGGGGACGTTCTGGAGGAGACCTGGGTTGCTGTGACGGAGCGAGTTTGGGTCTGCAGCCACTCTGAAGCTCTCTTTTCATCAGAATTGTGTGGTGATTTCTGTATAACCTGCAAAATACGAAGTTCAGCAATGTGACTGTAGGTTTAGGTTGCTTGTGCGTTCAAAATTATCTATCTGGTGCACTGGGATTTTTTAGAGGAGCTCTTATTTTGTTTGCAGAATCCTGAAAATTGTTATGTATGCGTATCTTTAATGTCTCTCCATATACGTTGTTCTTCTGCCCTCACAGTAGAATCTTTGCATAACAAGAGATCTTTTGTGTTTATCTTTGATAGGGAACGTAATATCCCCTTAACCTGCCAATTACAATTTGAAAAAGGTCATTTGAATTTGGTAGCTTCACAAGGTTAAGACCAACTGTTCATCAAACGAAAATTGTCTAGCAATTAAAATCAAATTAAAGGCCAAAAAGCTGTTGGCGTTTTTTTTGTATTGACTCAATATCTCGTGAGTTCTTACGCTTTTTGAAAAAGGAGTTTCATAATAAATTGTCATAAAACTGGGGACATTAAGTTTTTAAAATAAATTTGCTTGGAATCAAACTTGAATAATCTGAGCACACAGACTGCTGCAGCCTGGGTTTGTTGAATATAAGCTTAAGGAAACCGGCTTCTGGTGCATTTTTTCATGTTGTTTCAGATTTTGATAGATTTTTAAATAGATTTTAAAATTCAGCACTGGTAAGACGGCAATGTGTAGCCTGCTGCTGTAGAGCAGAGTTGTATCCTTGGCATATAAAGCGGACGAGGTCAAACTCGCGCCTTGTGTATGGATTTCAAGGGGGTCTTACACGAGAGTGTTGTTTTCTTCCATCCCTGGATGTAGAGGCACAGCAGTTGTCCTCCAGCAGCTCAGGCTGCCGTAGTCCGTCCGCACGAGCTACTGTGGAAGCCTGTCAAGGCCCGTGCAAGGAGCCAGGCAGGAGGCTGATACGGGGGCATCTGCTCCCTAAGAACCTCGTTCTTGTTTTTATAGACTGCTAAAATAATTTCTAAATGTCGTAGAAACGAGTATGAGCCCGAGTAGTCTTGTTATCATTTGCAAACTCGCCTTAGGTTTTGGTGCTTCTTGGTCTGAACAACGGCCTGGTTGTTGTGATGTGTTGCCTCGTGGCCTCGTTAAATGGCCCCCCTCCTTTTTTTTTTACATTTTATTTATTTCCTTGAGCTCAAGACCTGCTAAAACCCCTGAAGGGCGTTTAAATGCTTTGCCAGAATTGAAGTGGCTGCTCTTTTCTGTTTCGGAAATAATCTTTTGATTCCCTCTTTATATTTATCTAGTGTTAAGTATTCGCGGTATTCAGGAAGAAGATCCCCCAGATGCTCAACTAATGAGACTAGATAACATGTTGCTGGCAGAGGGTGTCTCCGGGCCCGAGAAAAGAGGAAGAGGAGGACCGATGGCTGTAGCAGCAACATCAGGTGGCTGTCCAAATGACAATAGCATTGAACACTCTGACTACAGGGCCAAGCTGTCACAGATCCGACAGATATACCACTCTGAGCTAGAGAAATATGAACAGGTGATCTTTCTGCATGGAAGAGTTTTTATCATCTCAATTAAAAATAACCGTTTTTTCCTTTGGTGTTGGTTTTAAGAACAGAACAGGAAGTATAATGACTTCAAGTGAATGCGAGGATATCAAATTCAGTTGAAAACTTAACTCAGTGTTACAGAAGTAAGGTGAAGATAGAGGGACCGGACATCAAACTAAAGATAATAAATGTCTTGTTTATCTTTGCTGCCGTTTTTTTTTAAGAGTAAATAGAGTAAAGCTGAAACATGGAAACTCCTCTGAAGTTTTTTTGGGGATATATATTCTTGTTGGGGAAACGAATGCTAGGGTGCTTTATGGTTTGTCGATACAAATGTGTGTATTTTCAGGCCTGCAGCGAGTTCACCACCCACGTCATGAACCTGCTTAGGGAACAGAGTAGGACGAGACCAATTTCGCCGAAAGAAATAGAGCGCATGGTGAACATAATCCACGGCAAATTCAGCACCATCCAGATGCAGCTGAAGCAGAGCACGTGCGAGGCAGTAATGATCCTGCGTTCACGCTTTCTGGATGCAAGGTACGAGAAAACAGAACCTAGTGAGAACAGAGGTTTAAGCCCGAACTACTTTTGTTGCTTGATGCCAGTGACTGCGTACGAAATCTCAAGTCTCTCATTCCCAGTGTCGATCTGGTTTAAATATTAAGGATTCGCCACCTGTTTTGCTTGCTAGGGTGTAATTTGATATCGACATCAGTTTAATTCCACTCGATTCTTACATTCTCCTTCAAACCAAGTCTGTGTTAGAGGAAAAAAAGCCAACGGTGTGCTCTAGCCGATCTGCTCTATAACACCATTTAAATAGGAATAACTAATATTTTTATAGGCGTAAACGACGTAACTTCAGCAAACAGGCGACGGAAGTACTGAATGAATATTTTTATTCACATCTGAGTAATCCTTACCCCAGTGAAGAGGCCAAAGAAGAGCTAGCAAAGAAAGGTGGCATCACAGTTTCACAGGTATGAAATGTTTTACCTGGAATTAAGTGACTTTTTTTCCCCTCAAAGAATGTTGTTTTTTTCTTCCCCTGCCCCTAGTTAGCAACAGGCTTCAGTTACTGGTAGTTAAACAGAATTCAGGTAATTCTGAAGGGTTGGGTAGTAGGTATTTTCTGCTTGAAGTCTAGTTTAAAACGTCTCCTTTGCCGGCAATTTCTAAATATAGTGGAAAACAGAATAGTTTGATCAAGTGCTAACAGCGATGTATGTCTCCAGGTTTCCAACTGGTTTGGTAACAAAAGAATTCGATACAAAAAAAACATGGGGAAGTTCCAAGAAGAAGCCAATATTTATGCTGCAAAAACAGCAGTGGATGCGACTAATGTCGTGGCTCAAGGCAACCAGGCAAATTCTCCGGCTACACCAAATTCAGGTGAGCGAGAGTGCCGGTGAAGTCTGTCTGCTTCAAAGTCTCTTAATTATTTCTTGTGACAATTAGTACCACAGAATGCCGGTGTTTGAAAGGGTTGTAGGATTTCTTTTTCTCTTAAACTTATGCAGTGTTCCTTGAAGAACCGTTTTTAATGGGTTTTATATCTCATTAAAACATGTTCTTCTTTTTTTTTTAGCTTCCTCTGGCTCTTTTAAGATGACAAATTCCGGAGATTCATTTATAAACTTGCAGTCATTGACTTCCTACCAGAGTTCCCCAGTGGGAGCCAATGTGCAGTCGCAGGTCAGTAAGGAAAAAAATAAATTCCATACTTTCAGCAGTGAGATAAATGTCAAAAATCCTATTTCTCTGTCCTTTATGTGGTAGGAACAGGTTGCGCAGGAAGGCTGTGGAGTCTCCATTCTTGGAGATATTCAAAACCCAACCTGCTCTAATTGACCCTCTTCAAACAGCAGGGTTGGATTAGACAGTCTTGGGTTTTGGTCTTTTTTTGTTTTCTTTTTAAAGTAGATTTTCTTAATAACAGATAGGGATGGACTTTTCTGTCTCTGGCCAGTGCTGGCTAGGATGCAAGAAATGACTAGAGTCAAATTTCTCAAACGAGTCAAGAAACAAACCTGCTCAAATGCGTATTTTCTGTTGGAACTAGCATTTTCTCTTACAGAATTAACTGATACCTAAATTAACCTACTGCTATTCTTCTATCCCTTTAAGTTTACGTTAGTGAATCAGTATTTTCTCATTTTTAGAGTCAGTCTTGTTCCATGTAAGTAGAACCTTGCTTAGAATTTGTGGCTAACAGTATTGTTAAACTCATTTTAAGCTTTCTGCTGAATTTCCAAATCCATCTGAACTGCATAAAATCCGTTCCGCTGTCATAAAAGCTGTAGGGGATAGGCATGATACTGGGCTCTAATTCGGCTTGATAATGAGCTAGCTACGTAGAGCTCAGTTAGTAGCAAGAACTGCAAAGAAAACTTGTCTTCCTGCAAGAAAACCTGCCCCTTGTTTAAAGAATTTTTGGCCCGATAGATACATACCACAAACTACTGCATTTCCTTAACTTGACTTTTTACCCTTCCTCTTCTCATTGTGTGGGATCTTGTTTTAGATGGATTCCTTACATCACGTCATACACCAGACAGGAAGATATGACACAATTGTGGGGAATCCTTTGTATACGACGCAGCGCATCGATGTAAGATGTACTGAGGTATTACTTAACTAGAAACACAAATTCTGCCTGAGATTGGTTAATGATCTGGGAATAAATGTTGAATTTTTATTCCCCTGACATGTCTGATGGGGAGGTAGGAAAAAGATGTAGTTTAACACACCAGCCTTTCCCTCCTGGAGACTTGATTTAAAATTTTGGCTTTGGTCTCCAGATAATTTGTGCACTTCGATTAATTTTTAACATAAGGAGATAGCACTAGGAGTAAGAGTCATGCCATAAAATCGGGGGGAGAGAAGAGGTTTTAAGGGATATTTGTGGACTGTGCTTTGCCAGAGCTGATACATAGTTATTTCCTTTCAAAAGCACTGTCCCTTCTAAGCTTTAAACATATAAAGGCATACTTTGTTGCCTGCAAGTAGTTTCTTAAAGATTTAATGAAACAATATATTTCTTCTCCCTTCAGGCTAATGGCAGCTGGCAGGATGCTACCACCCCTTCATCAATCACTTCACCTGCTGGAGACCCTGGAAGTGTTAATTCGGATGCGTCTAATTAAGTTTTTAGGACCTATTGATGAGAGGAAAGAGGTCATTAGTGTAATTTGTCAATGTTGCTCTTTTGCCAATACTATTGTTTATACAACTTGACACACAGCTAATTACCTCAGAAAAACCCTGGAACCAATAGAAGATTGTGATTACAATGATACCTCTCTACCTCTCAGCCTCACGCAGTTGAGTTCCTTTTTACTTATGCCCATTGGGATGTGAAATTGTTTTAAAAGAACTTGCTTCATTTTCCTAACCAAATTCGGTTTTTTAAATATGGATTTTATGGTAAGAATCTGAAAGTGTCTCTTCTAGAACTTGGCGTTTGTCTCAAGTTTTACAGCTTAAGAAAATTGACTTATTTTAATTTCCATGAAGTTTTTTACTATGAAATTTCTGTTCTAGTTGATAGCTACTAACAGTTAAACCCCCTGTATTGTAATTGTATGCGTTCTCTGTATTGTAATTTTGTATAGGAAAATAAGCTTTTCTTAACTAGAGTTCATTCTGAGCTAATTAATCAGAACGTTGCTTTACCAAAACTCTCACTGGACTTTGCTCTCGGGTAGGACCTTCCATCCTGTGTCATTCCACTTAATTCTAATTTAATGTCTAGTGAAAAAACAAAACAACCAAACGACAAAACCACCTGACTTCCCCATGGATAATAGGGTTTTGTGCATTTCTGCAGCTGTTAACAGAGTCCACCCCTTTCAGTTGAGATTTTATCAAAGATAATAAACTTCCAAAGCCTTTTTTTTTTTTCTTCCCCTTTCCTTTTTGTTTTTCTCTCCTTGCCTGCCTTTCCTCTCACCTTTCCTCACCTAAGCTCTGAGGCGGCGGGAGCTCCCTGAGGGGATAAGGGAGCAGCCGCGCTCCCTCAGGGGAGGGCGGGAAGCCGGGAGGGGCGAGGCGGCCTCTGCGCATGCGCTTGCCTGAGGGGAACCGGCGCCACCTTCCCGCCATGCACCGCGCCCAAGGGCCGTTGAGGGCGGGCGGCGGTGTCATGGCGGAGCATTCAGAGGG